GTACATTGATAATTGATAATTATTGTATTCTATACATTTAAAACGCACTAAACCAATCTATTCCTTAACCATAAAATTTAATAGCGAAGTATCTACACTGTGCCGAAAGTGGAAATATCAGAACGAGCAGTTAATAACGAAGCAGTGTGTAACTCGTAATCATAAGGGTAAGTATCGACTCGCACCCCACCTGCACGAAGCCTGCACGCCTAATTTACTTTTATAGAGATGTTCTAACACCACACTGCGAGTACTACAAACAAGTTTGTTGACTCAAGTATTCTTAATATTTACAGTTCAGACATAAAACTATAAACACTTTATACATTTGTCAATTACGCATCTAAGGCTCATTATAGCATTGTAGAATGCAAGTACATAGACAGAAAAGCAAATAATAAATAGTCAATTTTTTAGCAATATATCCAACGCATTTTAAGAATTACGTTGTTTGTGGTAGAACACATTAATTTCCGTTACGTACAAAGATTTTTATCACATAATTATTTATATTAAAGAATGTTGAAATACTTAGTTATTTGTTATGCAAGGCTCGAACGTTGTTGTTTGACGCGAGTGCTTGCATTGAAACCTCGCTTTCTGAGCGTAGCGAGGGTTTCAAGTCACGAGACACAAAACAACTTTGCTACCGTGCAACACACATTGCTAAACACACAACTTTTCACCTCATTATAGCAAGGGAAATGGTAGATGAGAGAAAAACAGTTGAACTATAACAAATCAGTTTTAGTCATTCATGCATCAAAAATTACTTATTGTTATCAGTTTAATGTCAATAATAATAAGAATAAAATATACCCATGGATTTATATTACTTAAGTAATGTACGACGACAAATCGCTTGGGTGAATGTGTTATTATGTTTTTTTTTCTCATCGAAAGGTAAAGTTAGGTGCACCATAGTCCATTGTCAAGTTCGAAATTTCAAAAATGCTTTTGCTCTTTCCGAGCTAGTGAGGTGAAAAAAAATATTACTCGGATGTAATAGGAACTTGTGCATCGGGTCTCCACACTTCCGTCTCCACGAAACTATGTAGCTCTTACCAAGTGACCGAAATATACTACGTAATTAGGATTTTAATATCTTAGGATTTTTTCTTAAATTTATATAGTATATAAATTCCAACTAAACTACAACTAAGGTACCCTGATAGTTTAGTTTTTAAGTAGTACCATTTAATTTCGTAATTGAAACACGCTTATTGTGACAGCATAGGCTTTAAGAAACCCATACATATAACTTATTTTCATAGCAATGTTTATCATTTCGTGTAACGTCTGCCACATGTTAAGTACTTAGTAGTATTTTATAACTAAAAGTTAGTTATAACTTAGAAAATAATATCATTTATATTAAATGACTTTTCAGGTTTGGTTTTACGAGTGCATTATAATGTTTCACTATAATATACATCTTACACCAATGATATAAAAATAAATAAATTAAAGTAACAACAAAAACATCGAGAGATATCTACTAGCTTAGAATATATCGATATATTTCAAGCTACAAATCGATAGCTAGCTTTTACAACGTCTGCACCTCTAGCAATAGCTTCATTTTCACATTTTCCCCGCGCGAGCGAGCAGTTTTCCCGCAACTGTGGGCGCGGACATACACTCGTCGCGTCGCTGTCTCGCGTACAATAACAATCAATTTAATTTCGCAAAAACCTCCATTAAACTCCTTTAAAGAACTTTATAGTAAACAAAAATGTGACAAAAACTCTCCCTGATGCACGCTCACAGCAGATATTAGTAAACAAGTGAGTACTTGCATTGTTTTCGGATTGTAGCCCGTTATTTTTAAGATTATTTGTAGATTAGCAAAAGCAAATGTTTTGTTGGCTTCAGGTCGCTACAAAAGATTGGAAAGGTCAAATAAAACAGTCATAGGCTTTGTTTTAATTGTTCTATTAACTGTAATTAATATTTTTTTCAATAGATTACCAATGTTAAGGATCTTGGCAAGAATTATACTTTATTTTTCCTTTTTGTGTCTTAAATCGATGGTTTAAAATGTCAATGTCTCTTGAAGAGATGTGCAGGAAAGCACAACAAAAAACTACACAACAGTTTTTGGAAACAATTTAATGTGTTTGTTCATTAAATTAGGGGTGTCGTAGATGTTTTAACTTTAAAAAAACAAAAAATCTGACTAAACAACCAGTCAGCTTGTCATGAACTGCTGTAACAATGTATTTAAATGTTAATTTTAATTGTATTATTAGAAGTTAAATATGTATAGTCCTTATGGTAGTCATTTCAGGTATTGATGTATTCCAAATGGTAATTAATGGTTACTTTTATGATTGTCGATTAAACTGAAGATTACTATTTCTTTTGCCTACTTGATCTGTAGAAAATTAAAACGTCATACCCTTTTAAGTACTCTTAATCTCAAATTATTTGAAGACTACTTCTAGACTTATGGATTATGGCCTAGGTTTTTGAGTGAATACACATGGTAACATGTAAAGAATATTTTTTGCTCATTAACCACCTGAATTACTAAAACTTACTTTCAATCTAATTTTAGTAGTTGGTCACATTATCGTAAATTCAATATTTGCGTGCAGGTGAGGAGTGGGCGTCTCCTCGGCGACCAGATGAGCAGTTTCAGTGTGACCGGGAGCGACTTAAGGCCACGAAAATTGCTCCCCACGGCAGCCCGGCGCGTGCCTACATCGCCTACCACAAGCTCGGAGCCGGCATGGAGGCTCAAACCGAAACGCCGCCACAGGAATGTGAATGTGGCGTTCACCCCTCCGTCTTCTATCTGCTGGCGACCTTGCTGCTCACCAGGTACTTCTACCTACCTTCCATTAGGTGTTTGTAGAAATCAGTAAGTTTGAGGCCAAAAACGACATGGTCGCATTTCCAGTGACTATTATAAAGTAGTATTAGTATTATACTATTAATATTACAGACTTTACAAATAATTCAACGACAAAAAGTGTTTCTAAAAGACACGAAAATATTTCAACACATATGGCGCCCAAGAAGGGACTTGAAACAGTTTAAGTGACTTCATATCCACCATTTGCGCCCAGAAGACTCCCACTGATAAAAAATAAAAAGATCCTCTTTATTCCAAGGCACGTTAATTAAACTGGTTTAATTTTTATTCCCTAATTCGAAATTATAAGGGCTTTATCGGCTTTAATCCAGAATTTTGCTTAGTCATTAATGTCACCGCTAAGCGACTAAAAGCGTGAACTAGAATACAAAACATAAAGGTAAAAGACCTAGGAAACCCTATATTCGTGTATTCTGCCCAGAAGTTATAGTATTGTGGTTGTGTAAAGAGCCTTTGTGTTGAACTAATTGCCCGCTTTTGTCCGTCCTCCACGATTTGTCCGGAGTGTCATTTACATTATAATAATAGCCGAAGTCGAGAGCGCCATCAATTTTCGTTACAAACAACTTCTCGTCTTCACGCCGCCATCTAATGAGAGGTATTCTCATATAAAATGACGAGATGCGTCGTTTCCCGGGTTTTTTGCAATATGCTTTTCCGCTCAAAATGTAATTGTATTATATTAGGCACATCAAACACGTCGTTCAGTTCCCAAAATAAGTAACTAAAGCACTTGGAAATCGGATATAACTACTGTACCACTGACACCCAGATCCGAGACAATATAGAAAACTCGATTTTTTTTCCGGGATACCGGTATGAAGCGAGTTTGAGAGCCCTTCCGCACATAACATGCTAATATATTCCCGCTGGCTCTAATGAGCTGGTGGAAAAGACTAACTGAACTCACTCCGCGCATGAAATTCTCAAGTGGCTTAGTTTTGCTATATTTTGTTAAAGTACCCATAGTGTTCGTGCGCCTGGAGGTAAGCTACCCCCTATCCATAACAGTTGCAGTGCCAATCAAAACTTAAAATCGCCCATCACCTTGAGACAGCAAGTTGACAAGTCTCATGTGCCTGTACCAGCACTCTTACCCTACCAGTCATTACCTTTACCTTACCGGAAAGCAGCAATGCTTACATTACTGCTTGGCGGCAGAAATAGGTAAGGAGGCAATACTTTACATATCTGGCCATAACAATTGCAGTGCTTCTCAGAGCTTTAAATCGCAAAGATCCGAGAGGCGCTGCAATGCGCCCATTACCATGAGATATAAAGTTGACTCCCAGAATTACAGACACAATTTCACCAGCACCCTTACCTTTCAAAACCGGAACGCAGTTTGAGCAGTACTCACATTATACTTCCCTGGACGAATTCTTTCACAAGGAGCTCTACTGCTTTTAAGCCGTACTGAGCTGTCTCTACTATACATTATAATTATTATAATGGTTCCCTGGTCATGTAATTGCATTCATTTGTACTACCGCATGAAAACCTTATTTTAAATGCTGAAGCCATTTCCAGTAAATCAACAAAATTCTGCAGTTTGCGTAATTTGCAAATGCAGTGTTTGAGAAAAGCTTTCGACGGAATTAGTTTGAGACTTTCTGGTTCACTCGCCGCAGTTCCAGTGCTGAAACTTTGCCTTCACTCTCTTATATAACTTCTTTAGACTATAAAGTAGATATTGTATTTACTTATATTTCCAACACGGATCTGTCTCTGTATTTCAAAAGTAGCTTCGAGTATAGATCACTACTAAAGAATAAAGTATCTTTGTTTAATGATACTAAGAGACGTAACGAACCAGTCGTATACTTGGTGATAAGCAACACTCCTGGCAATATCAGTTCCAGTGCCCCACAGAGCTTTAAATAGCAAAGATTCGTATATGGCCACATTTTGCAGATGTGGCCATATTACAAAAAAAGGTGCTATTTCTGAGATACGTTCGACGGGACGAACAAGTCGTGCGCCTGATGGCAAGCTACACGCCTGTCCATAATAGTTGCAGTGCCACTCAAAACTTTAAATCGCAAAGATCTGAAGGGTACTGCCACTGCGCCCATCACCCTGAGACATAAGTTGACAAGTCCCATGTGCCTGTAAGTTCACTAGCACCATTATCCTTCAAAACCAGAATGCAGTAATGTGGGCATTACTGCTTGGCAGCAGAAATAGATATTTACAATATTCTTCATATTGTTTAAAAGTACATATTTTTACGTACTTTCATATCCATAGTAGGCATTGTATTTAGTTATATTTCATACTGAAATCTTTCTCTGTATTTCAAAAGTAGTTTCAAGTAGCTATCTATAGAATAATATACATATACACTATTCTCCATGTTCCTTGAAAACACGTACTTTTACGTACATTCATTATAAAAATATGCCACGACAATGTGCCTAAAATTCAACTGCTGCAGTGTTTCGCCTTTGTATAGCTATGCTAATACATTGGATAGGGTGGTTTCTGGTACTTGGGCCATCTATTCGGTTCTTTATTTTGAACTTGAAAACTTAAAGTATTATAAAGCATAATGTAAACACTACAGCCAGGTCGTCAGTTTTCTAAATCGCGTTATTCAGGAAGTTTCCACGTTCCCAAGCAAGAGTCTCCCATTTGAAAACTAAACAAGTTCAAAGTGAGTTTTCATGAGAATTTCACTTAAGTGTTTAAAAATAATAGAATGTTTTTGGTTATTCCAATTACAAAGAAAGTGATACTTTATTTTAAAAAACCGACCTAAAAAGTTTGTAGAATTATATCTATTTCCGAAGTTTTATTGAAATCGATTAACGGAAAGTGGGTGAAATCCAATAAACTGGAATCATTCGCTAATTTGACATCCATAGGGATGGAATAGTTTCTTCTTAATTGAATGGGACCACTACTGAGGTACCTTTCCAACAAAAAATAATCATCGTAATCGGTTCACAAATGTTGGAGGAATCGCGTAACATACACACAAAGAAAGAAACAAAAAAAAAACAATCGAATTGAAAAACGAAGCGAAGTTATTTTTCGCCATTTCCCGGTCATAAAGTTTTATAGGAAATAGGGATTTTTGCTTACTTTGCATACCTTAGCGATGTAGCATATTATTCCGTTTCTTGAATACATGATTTTCATATAAATGGAAAAAAATACTATAAATGGTCAGAAATGAATTTATTGTTTCTCAAAATATTCTCCGTTAGCGTTAATGCACTTTTTCATACGAATGAACCAATTTTGAAAACATTTATTTCAGAGATTGTCACGGAGGAGTGGTCCGTGACAATCTCTGAAACATATTTCTCATACTCTTCGACAGCCTCTTCAGGTGCTGAAATCGACAATTGACCGCGTAACTGGTTCCTAATTTTTGGAAATAAATAAAAGTCACAAGGTGCCAGGTCGGGTCTGTACGCGAGATGGCTCATAAGGTCAACGTTGTTCACTTTCAAAAATCCATTTGTCTGTCTGGCCCTGTGAGAACTGGCATTATCTTGGTGCAAGATGATACGGCGTTTACGGTTAATTGTACGGAGTTTGTCAATAACTTCCAGCAAACAAATGGTCGTGTACCAATCACTATTCATGGTACAACGATTCTCCAAAGCAACAGTAGCCACGTGTCCAGTTTCATTTAAAAAAGAAGCAATCATCCGCTTAGAGGCACTTTGCACGCGCGCCCCTTTGGTTGATTTCGGCTCATCTCGAAAGACCCATACGCTCGATTGCTGCTTAGTTTTGGGATCGTAACTATAAATCTATGTTTCCTCACCTGTTACTATGTGCCACATCAAATTTGACGCCCCTTCGTTGAATCTGGTAAGCATGGCATTGCACCAAGTGACGCGATCCCTTTTTTGAGTCTCAGTCAAATTGTGTGGGATCTACCGAGAGCATAGCTTTTTCACACCCAAATGTTTGTGTAGTATGATTGTATTTGCCTCATGCCTATGCCTAAAGATACCCGAATCTCATGGTATGTCACATGCCTGTCTGTTTTGATCATACGGCGCACAGCATCGATATTTTTGTTGTATTTACTTTTTAAATATTGTTTATGTAAGTGGCCCAGTTCTGGAAACTTATAGTGCGCCCTATGTGATACGAAGCAATTTCTATAGGTACAGTTTACGTAGTTAACACAAATGTTACGTAATATGCACAGAAAGCTGCCAAATGCCCTGGTGAGTTTTGTTACTTTGTTCTCACCACTTCGACATAATCTCTACTTATGTATGTACGTGCATAGAGATACCATATACGGTACATTAGGTAACCCTAATTCGGGACATGTCTTCTCTATAAGATTAAAAAACAAACTGATTGTTATACTATTATTTTGCTTTTCCGATTTTACACCCCAAAATTAAATCATTAAATCTACATTTAAGTTTTAATAAACAGATCAGAATACCATTTTCTATCGTATCCATTTTCTATTGTTAATATGGCAAATAGTTTTGGAGAAAATCATGGGACAGGGAGGTAATAACTTCAAATATCAAAGTAGTTCCAAACGAACCAAAGTAATTTTATAAAATAAAATAAAATTACCAAAGTAGGTTCAGTAGAGCTCCTTGTATTATTACCGACGTTATAGAGTCCATCATATTTTTCTTAAACAATATCAAAAGACATATAACCATTTTAACCGTAATTTCTACAACGAATACCTCGAGATTGTCTAGTAGAAGTAGCATTTATAAAGTTGAGGGTGCTGGCGAAATTACAGACACTGAGACTTGTCAACGGGTGACGGGCGCAGTGGCAGTGCCCTTAAAATCCTTGTGGTTTAAAGCCCTGAGTAGCACTACACCTGTTATGGACAGGCGTGTCGCTTACCATCAGGCGCTCGTCTCCTTCGTCCCATCACTTGGTATCATAACAAAATCCATTGCTTTTTTTGATCTTTGGTACGAAACACTAAAAAGTAAAA